ATGAAGTCCCAAAAGTTCATTTTTGCTTTTGCTTCACTTTGGAGATGTATCTTGAAAGAAGTTGCTGTGGCTGATGTCGAAGAATGAAACTTGACCATTCTCTAACACCATACACAAAGATAAACTGAAAATGGATGAAAGACCTCAATGTGAGACAGGAACCCATCAAAATCCTAGAGGAGAACATAGGCAGTAACCTCTTTGAAATGCTATTTTAAACTATGCTTCAGGTAAAAGGAAGGTAGCCATTTATCTTAGAGGTCACTGTGGAGACATACATTTATTCAAGTAGTAGGCAGAAGAAAAATACAGTATAATTTTAATCTTAAGCTGCCTCTTGTTAATTAAGTTGAACTAAGTCTGTTGAAAGTGGGACTACAAATATGGTCTTACTGGAATGGAGATACATGTTTTTTGAATTGCTGCCCACTTTCAGGGCTCTGTGATGAACCTTCCAGTAGGGTCTTAGTCTTGAGGATGCTTTGTGGAAATCATAAGGTGGAAATCAGGACAGATCTGGAAGATTCATTTATAAATTTCTTTGGTTTTTTGGTTGATTGGTTAGTTATTGTAGATGGTTAATATTTGTCCCATAGGCTGGATATTTTGTCATATTGACCAGGTTTTTCAAGCCAAGTGGTTGGAGATTTTCACACGACTATTTGGATTACTCTGGAATTCTCTGCTCTTGCTTTAAATTTTTTTTCTTCTTCTTGCTTTAAATTAATATTAAATGTAAATTTCTGGCCAAGGTGTGCTATCCTTATAGCAAGATAGCAACATTTAAAGTCCTTTAAGGACTTTAATCAACAGTTCATTGAACTGTTCATTGAACTCTCATGAGTGAGGGATGACTGAGAAGCCTAGGACATGGTTTCTCTACTCAAGACCAGATCTTTAGCAGAGCGGACACTCAATCAGTAGTTGTTGAATAAATATATTAATAAATAATGCTCATAATATGTGAAGAAACTAAGAAAGGAAAACCAGCAGGACTTTGTTTTGTCCTCTGCTGTGTCCCCGTAGGCCAGAATAGCCAGGTGTATTGTAGGTCCTCAGTGCATATGTGAATGAATGACCAAATGACCATGTACCGTCCCTGCAGCCAGAGTTCTTGGAGCCACTTCCAGCTGGGTTAGTCAGGGAAGGCTTCATGGAGCAAAGGGATTTTGATTAGAGAAAGGGAGGGCCATCTAGAAATAGAGGGTGATGCGGAGGCTCCTCAGGAGAGGTTGGAAGCTGGCAGTGGAAGCACAGCAATGGAGGCTGATCACCAAAGGTAAATTTTAGAAAGCTTAGGAAGACTGGTTTAAATTTTCCTGTAGAGACAATGGAGACTAACAGGGACATTTTAGAAATATTAATCTAGAGGAGAAGAGAAATTGTAAAAAGCACATTGTTGGGGCTTGTGATTAAATGGGTTGATGAGGGAAATGAAGCAGTTAGGGATGGTGACAATCTTGTTTTGAGCTTACTTGACTTGGATGATAGTAAAAGCATAATCAAATCGGAAAGTCAGAAGGGGAAATTAACTTTTTGTGGGAAGGTTTTTGTGTTTTAAACCTCTTAGGTTTGAAGTAATGGGAACACTTCATAGTAGACTGAGAAAAATCCCAGAAACACAGATTATTTGACCGGAGGCATCTTAGAGAGTGAGTTATGATTAGACTCCAATACAACCCTCTGTCTTACTGATGACGTGTCAGTGATGTGATGACTGATTATCTTAAAACTGACGAGTGTAGGGAACAATCCAGAGGAATTGCCACTTCTGAGGGGAAAGCCGTTGCTAAGGGCTCCCACTGGTAGCAAGTCTAGATGAGTCTTTAAGCTATCTCTCGTCTGCTTGGATGTTTCTAGGAATGATGGTTATAAACAGAGTTGGTCCTGGACATGTGTTAAATAGAAGTGGTGGGGCTCAGAAGGAGGGTTGGAGACCAGTTCTCACCCTTAGCGTATGCGCTTTTGTACTTCAATCCCTTTCATATGTAAGGATAGACGATAATTATCCATCCTCCAGCTCACACCCTTAGTAACTACCTGTCCCAGACTTAGATTGTGAGTGAAACACTGGGCTTTTGGCTTCTGGAGGCCATGGGTGATATTCCAAAACTGAGCTGCGCTTTATGTGTGAGCAGTCTAGTTGCTTCTTTTTCTTCCCCAGCTTTATTGAGATATAATTGACATATGACACTGTGTAAGTTTAAGGTACAGAATGTGATGATTTGATACACCTATAGATTGCAAAATGTTTGCCACAAAGACATTAGTGAACACATCCTTTACTTCACATAATTATATTTTAAGATTGTTGGTATAGTGAGAACATTAAAGCTCTATTCTCTTGCAGCCTTCACGTGTATGATATAGTGTTAACTATAATTGCCATGCCGTCCATTAGATCCCCAGAACTTATTCATCTTATAACTGAAAATTTGTGCCCGTTGGCCAACATGCCTCATTTTTCTGTCCTTGCTCAGTCCCTGGCAACCACCATTCTACTTTCTGTTTCTGGATTCCACATATAAATGAGATCACACAGTATTTGTCTTTCTCTGTCTGACTTCTTTCCCTTAGCATAATGCCCTCAGGTTCCATCCATGTTGTCACAAATGGCAGGATTTCCTTCTTTTTATGGCTGAATATTTCATTTTATATAAATACCACATTTCATTTTCTTCATCCATTCATCGACAGACACTTAGGTTGTTTTCTTGTCTTAGCTATTGTGAGATATATTGTGATGGACATGGGAGCACAGATATCTTGTTCAGAATATGATTTCATCTTCTTCAGATATATACCTAGAAGGGGGATCACTGGATCATATGGTAATTCTACTTTTAATTTTTTGAGAACCCTCCATACTGTTCTCCATCATAGCTGCACCAATTTACATTTCCATCAGCAGTGCACAAGGATTCCCTTTCTTCCACATCCTTGCCAGTATTTGTTACCTCTTATTTTTTTTGATAATAACTATTTAATAGGTGTGGGGTAATATCTCATTGTGGTTTTGATTTGCATTTCCCTGATGATTAGTGATATTGAGCACTTTTCATGTACTTGTTAACCATTTGCATGTCTTACTTGGAAAAATGTCTATTCACGTCCTTGTCCCATTTTTAAATTGGATTGTTTGTGTTTTTGCTATTGAATTGTATGAGTTCCTTATGTATTTTGAATACTAACCCCTTCTCAGATGTATGATTTGCAAATATTTCCTCCCATTCTGTAGACTGCCTTTCATTTTGTTGATTGTTTCTTTTGCTGTGCAGAAGATTTTTAGTTTGATATAGTCCCACTTGCTGATTTTTACTTTCATTGCTTGCTCTTTGGTGTCATCGAAAAAAATCATTGCTAAGACCACTGTCAAGGAGCTTTTTTTCCTTTGTTTTCTTCTAGAAGTTTTCTGGTTTTAGGTCTTATGTTTAAGTCCTTAATCCATTTTGAGTTAATGTTTGTTGAGTGTGGAGTCCAGTTTCATTATTTTGTATGTGGATGTCCAGTTTTCCAAGCACCATTTATCGAAGAGACTATCCTTTTGCTCCTTTTGCCATTGTGTTTTCTTGGCTCCATTGTCAAATATTAGTTGACCATATATGCGTGAGTTTATTTCTGGGCTCTAGATTCTGCTCCATTGGTCTATGTGTCTGTTTTTAATGCTAATACCATACTGTTTTGATTACTGTTGGATGTTCTGTATATACCTGTTAGGTCCATTTGGTTTAAAGTATAGTTCAAGCCCGGTTGGTTTTCTGTCTGGGTGATTTATTCATTGTAGAAAGTAGAATATTAAAGTCCCATACTATTATTATAATATGCTGTCTGTCCTTCACTTTAGATCTATTAGTATTTGTTTATCATATTTAGGTGCTCGAATGTCTTTCCCTTCAGTCATCTGCCTTCCTGGGTCAGCAGCTCAGTGGAAGGAGATGAGGGACTGAATGGGCATGAGAGATGAGCTCCTTGTGTTTTTTCCCAGTTAATGGAGACAAGGAAGAGAGTGAATGGGAAATGTCTGGCATAGGAGGAATAGGTGAGAATCAGCCCTTTTACAGTAAAATGAAAGGTAGAATAATTAAACCTTCATCGTCACTAGCAGGGAAATAAAATGGCCATAAAGTATTTTTTAAAAGATTTTATTTATTTATTTAAGAGGGAGAGAAAGAGAGAAAACGAGCGAGTGAGCCAGAGCACAAGAGCAGGGGGAGGGTGAAGCAGACTCCGCTGCTGAGCAGGGAGCCCGATGCGAGGCTCAATCCCAGGACGCTGGGATTATGACCTGAGCCGAAGGTAGATGCTTAACCGACTAAGCCACCCAGGTGCCCCGTGGCCATAAAGTATTAACATCTAGTAATTTACTCTCATCATCCTAACTCTTGAAGAGTTTATTTCTTAAATTGCAGTGATCACACTGAGAGTAAAAAGAATATTAGTTTTACAAGCTTATTTTAAACCAGTTCCTAGCAGTAGTAACTGCCTTTGTCTTCCTGGGCGTGCTGAGAGTTGATTAAGAACCAACCTATGGGCCAAACATTTAAAACACTAGTGATCCTAAGCAGTTAGTTGATTGGGAAATCTTGATCACCTGACATTTGGCAGTGGCGAAGGAAAAGCGGACGCAGATCTAGTTGGTGAATTCACATGCCTGAGGCTCCAGGTGATGGGCACATGGACTTTAATAGTAGCAAATAGCCATGGATGAGAGAAGAACAAAAATTCTAGAAATGGGAAACTTCCAGCATGGCGAGGTGGCATATTTTTAGATTGGGGTTAATGAATTACTTTTCAATCTGAAATCTTCAGGAATAGGCAGTTTCCTGTTTCCGCAAATACCAGATGAAAGGCCAAGCCAGTATTCTTGGATTTATAGATCCAATTTACCAGATTGAAAGGACACTTGCTCTCTTTAACTAAGCGAACTAGCCGGCCCCTGCATGCCAAGTTTCTGTGGCAGTATGACCTCAGTGACCTCTCTTCTCTATTGTGGAATGTAGGTGATAAGAATGGAGGTGAGCCCGATGATGCTGAACTGGTAAGGCTCAGTAAGAGGCTGGTGGAGAACGCGGTGCTCAAGGCTGTCCAGCAGTATCTGGAAGAAACACAGAACAAAAGCAAGCCAGGGGATGGGAGCTCTGTGAAAACTCAAGAGGCTGATAGGAATGGCACTGACAGTGACAACAACAGGAAGTGAGAGCCCAGTGCAGGCAGGCCCCCGCTGCTCCGTGAGAAGCATCCCGCTCCCCTCTGCTGGGTCAACGGACTAATTTGCATTGTGCTGTTTCAGTGTCTCTTGTCCAATCTGTGGAGATTGCCCACCACTTTCATGATCAATGTGTTCGCATTTCTGAAACACAACAGAAGAGAAATGGAGTGCTGGGACTAGCAGAGGAAATTAACTTACAGAAGAATGGCCCAAGTTTCACTTGCCCTCCGCCATGGCCGAGGGAGAGGGGGAACTTTGGGTTATGCCTCGTGGACTCAAATTAAAGGGCATGGAAAGGGCCTGGCCATCAATGGAATACTGCCATTTATATTGCTTAGCAGGGCATTTGACCACTTTATCTGAGGCCAAAACACACACACAGCTAACAAGTGCTAAGTTTAAAATAATCACTGTTGAAATCGTTTTCCATACTGTTGGTCCATAATGTCTCACGTCTGTCCTACATCTGCTGTTGCTATGCGGTGATTTTTATTTACAGTCAATTGGTTTCATGCAAATGATATATTTTTGGCAAAATGCAACCTTTTCTATAAAACGTGGGCAACATCTTACAGGTTTCTTTTAACCTTCTTTTGATAAGTCAGTGTGCCATATTTCATGTTTTTCACTGGCATTTGTATGTAAAATGTATTATATAATTTTTTTTTCCATAGGCAAGAAACCTATTGGACTCCGGGACTTAATTAATGAAGCTTTGCATCGAGAAAGGATGAGTCTGAAGTCCAAAGTGAAACAGATAAAGGAACTTTTGTTAAAGCCTGAGACTCAGGCCAGGATTAGGAGGGAGCTTTTTGAAGGAAGATCTGTTAACAACAGTAATCAAGGAAACCAGGTTGATTTCAGTGTAACTTTGACATAAGCTCTACATTACTATCATGGTACCCTAGTCAATGCAACCTTGTCAGATTATTTCATAGCTCTTTGGTAAATACCAAAGAAGTGTTCTGATAGTGTCTACACAACAGGAAACCAACATTTGGTAAGGAATGAACAATTTCTTGCCAAAGAAAACTGATTGTGCTCTGTTATTTTTAAAGCTAAACTTGTGTTTCAGCATGTTTGTTTCTGTAATATCAAGAGTTATTTTATAGAAAGGACTTAATTAGCTGTCGTGAGATGTTTCTTGGGTTCTCACAGATAACACATACAGACTGAAAAATCATTTACATACAAAAAATACAGTATTTTAAGGGTCACTTGCCTTCTGTTGATGTGATTTTTGTTGTTAAATCAGAAGTAGTATTGTCCACACAAGTCTATACCTAATGTTAACTTTTAATGGAAATTTGAATGTTTATTGAACACTAGTACTTGAATGAACATTTCTAAGTGTAATTATTACAATTACTGGTTAAGAATGTTTTATAATATCCATATGTATTATTTTTCAATGATCAAAATGTAGTTTGCTTTTTCATTTCTTAATGAATAAATGTTTGGGATTTTTATTTTCTACTTTTCTGAAGAGAAGCCCTAAGTCTTACTGTATCCCTTATAATCTGAATTTGTTTGCACTGGTTCATTTTTAAAGACAATTCTTGAAAAATTTCCCCCCATATGATAATCATTGGTAACAGCTTTTTCTGTAGTCATTGCAAAATTGCTGCTACTAAGAGATCATGATGGAGGGGAAATTGGAGATCAAATATGTAACCATTTCAAATGTAAAATCCAGTTTACTCATGGATTTTAGCTATTTTTTCACTGGGTAAATTCGACATTTATTTATAAATGAGTTTATGCATTTTCATGCCTCTTAATAAATGTATTGTTTTCCCTTGTTGCCTCTCCTCACTTTCTTTCTCCTTCTTGGAAGTCGTTGGCTCTGTGCTGGCAGAAGGAAGTCATAAACAGGAGCTCGGAGAGTTGTAGTGTTTCTTCACCTTTATTTATGCCCTTCTCCTTCATGCTCGGAGAGCAGTTGCCAGAACACCTTTCAACTTCAGATTTTTAAAATCACCTCAAGTCAGTCGGCTTCACAGAGAATTAACAACAGAACCTTAAACGCAAAGAAAATCTAAATAGCATCCCACAAACTGCTGATTATGTGTCAGCGAAGTGCCAGCAGGAGCAAACATGAAAGGGGCGGATCCTTCCAAATGTGAGACAGGGGGCTGCTTACCGTGAAACCCCTGGGGGCAGAGGGCTCTCCTGCTCCAAGACAGCTTCCTCAAATAAACCCGTAAGATAGCAAGCAAAGATATTTGGGGGCCCACCTTGTCCTTCCAATGAAGAAACAGACTCGAGGAGACTGAGTGCCTAACGCAAGGCCGCTGCTGCCGGGAGCTGGCGACAACCTGGGGCCCCTTCTCAACGTTCCAGGGCTGTTTTCACTGTCCCAGGATTTCAGGAGAAATAGCTCTTCTCAGCCTCTAGCCAGAAATGTCTTTATCCCCAAGGAGCTGTTCCAATCCTTCCGAACAACTTGAAAGGCTGAAAGAGTGTTCTTTTTTGCCATCTGGGGTCACAGGTCTTTAGTTAAGCATCTTCGCTTCCATTGGTTCCATGTCTGTGCACCAGATGCTTTAGGCACATTGTGACATTTTTCCCTTCGGTGACCCTCCTAGGAAGTTACTAGGACTGTTTGACAGATTAGGAAGCTAGGAAACTGGGGCCGTAGATGGTGAAGTGGCTGTAAAGCTAAATGGCTATTTATAAAACTAATAAAAGGTAGGGCTTCTTGAGACTTGGGTCTTCTACTTCAAAGCCACCGTCTTTCCACAATGCAACACTTCCCCTCCCCACCAAGTACAATGCATTTCATGAGTAAAGGATGGGTAACAAAGGGGGTCACTTTCTTTTGACTCAGTCAGCCCCCTCGCAGCCCTGAAGTTCTAAAAGATATATGAGATCTGTCAGCTGATAGAATGGAACTGGCGGGGGAGGGAGGTGGAGGGAACCCCAGATATTTAATTTAGGGATTAAAGATTCTAATTCTTATCAATGAAATCTTCATCTAAGCAGGTTTACAAAAATAATGGAAAATACACAATAAAACATGTTTTTTTCATAGTTCCATTCTTAAAAACCAAGTAAGAATTGGTAAAAATCTAAGTTTGGGATCTGAAATATTCAAAATGACCTTTCCCCCACTAATCAGAGTCATAGGGTAATCGCTTGTCGGGTCCCATCACCAGAATATGTTGTCCCAAAATGGTAGTAGTTGGTCTCGGTTTGGTCCAGGAGGTGCATTGTGACTTCTAGACCTTCCACCACTGAGAAGTGATTTTTTTAAAAAATAACTTGAACTCACAACCCTGAGATCAGGACCTGAGCTGAAATCAAGAGTTGGATGCTTTACATTCTGTTCTATTTGTGGTAGTTCTCATCTTGAGGCAGGGAAACTGCAATAGTACATACATTTATGACAAAATTCCAACATTTTTCAGTCACTGGAGAAATAGTAGATCCTATATGAATATTTTAAGGGATGTTAAAAAGTCATATTTTCAACAGCAGGACAAGATTCTGTCAGCTTTGAACTTGGTCCTATTTATAGACGCTTATATTACTGTATTAATCTACTTTTCAGTCTAGGCTAACTATAGCCCTTTGAGATATACTAGATTTATATAGAGAGCATACTTAAGATTCAAACTGTTCACTCCAAAACCACAAATGTGCCTCCACCCAGTGATTCCAGCAGCCAGATGTCCTCCTAAGGAGGTAAATAAAGCAGTTTTAACTTGATATTCTAGGTATCATTTCAGACCTATGACCAGTAAGATATATTTGCACTTTTGCACTCAATCACAGGTACGTAAACCAGCTACCACGTTATGTCACAAATTAAGATTTATTTCATTATATAATTAAAGACGACAAACCTATAGTATATCCAAACATAACTTGAATGGATAAATCTGTTGTCAGCCGTTGTTTTCATCATATTCAAGAACTCTTCTCTAATAATTTTTTCTTTGAACAAACTCTAGATGCATTTCTGAATCCAATTTTTCTCAGGTAAAGAGAGAATCCATATAAAAAATAAATAGACCCAATATACTCAAAAGAACATAGTTTCCAAGTGCCTACATGAATTTGATAGCAGCACATATGCTAACAAGACAAAACCTTGGATTATTTCATTCACAGTAAAAATGAATATTAAAGAAATTCACTTTGAGTCAGCGAATTTAAAATTCTGATGCTAGCTACAGCACTTTCCCCCCAGATCACTGTTCTGGGAGTAAAAAGGTAATCTGAGAGCTGAAGGAAGGTGTTAATTATCATCACCAGTGTAATACACTCAAAACTACTTATTTGCATCTGTTAAGCGCAACTGATAAGTTTAAGCAGTTTACGATGATTTTAAAATGTAAAGTGCAGTAGTTATTCTTCTATATATTCTGTCATTAGTCATTTATTGGAAGGTCATTAAGTTCTGTTACAGCATAAAGCTAGGAATAATACAAGTGAGAAATCAATGCACGCTTTCCAGTAAACTTACGTTGCTTTCCCTTTAGTGGTTCAAATTATTTCTGAAAGCCACTCCCCTACCTATGTATTTCCATGTTATATAATATCCTCTGACCCATCTGCTTGCAGTCCTGTCAACTTGAGCAACTATATGGCATCCGGGGCTCTTGTTCTGAAGTAGCCTCATAGCGAATTGGCACGACTCTTTGGATTATTTCCCACACTTCGTGCCAAAAACCATGTGGGCGCATAGTCGCCATGATAATGTCTTTGAATCAAAGCACACTGCCCTTTCTTTGTTTATTCTTTAAACCACATAGGTGGTAACTTATCCATAATTTAAAAAAAAAATTTTTTTTTGGTAAATGCTCGTGTGGGATCTCTAAAGCTGTAGGTGGTGAAAGGACAAAGAATAAGTCTTATTGCTGGACAGGAATTACAGTGCTGAGAAAGGAAACATAAGTAATATGTATGCACCACTCCAAAAAATATCTGATATGGTAATTGAGACAGAGAAAATAGAATGAATATGGAACAGTGGGGAGAAACTAAGTATATCTTTTTAAGACTCTGGAAGGCAAATTTTGAAGCTATTTTTGTCAGGTTCATGCTTGAGAAATATCTTTATGGAGGGGCATGTGATAAGGGCTTTGGATGATTGCATGGATATGTGTCACACTTAGTGATCTCCCAGCCTCTTTTGCACACCTTCCTATTTGAGGGGAACTTCCTGCCTCGTGAGCCCTGTTTCCCCAGGGTAGAGGGCCTGAGGTAGAGGCCAGGAACTCACCTTCTCAGCCTTCTTTGTCACTGGGGTTCAGACCTGGGCTGACCTGGGCTGACCCTGGGTCACCTGGGCTCCACCAAGCCAGAGCGTGACTCTGCATGGAATCAACCCATTCTGGAGAGGACAGTGGAGAGACAGACATCCAGCTCTTAGAAACAGTAGTGGCAAAGATGCCCTCTGGGAGCTCCCATACCCTGTGTGGGTGGTATACAGTGGCAGAGGTCACAGGGCTCCCCTGGAGAAGCTGGTGGTGTAATGGAGCCTTTTTCCTGCTGTTTGGCCACCCAGCCTGATTCTCTAGACCTTCTGGGGATTCTGTGAGCTATGGAGTATCTTTTACTATCAAGTTCCTTTTCCACTTAAGCTAGCTAAAGTTGGTTCTGTTACTTGCAACTAAAAATCCCAATTTATACCAGCTATACTCCGCTGAATCAGTGTTCCCACACAAAGCACGATTGGCATGTTGAATTGGACACTTCTCTGTAGAGTGGGATGGTCCTGTGCATGGTAGGAAGGTACCATTCCTAGCTTCCAGGCAGTAAACATCAGCAGACTTCAGTTATTGTGACAACGAAATATGCCCCATGCATTTCCCAAATCCTCTCCAAATGGGGGCAACATTTATGAGCAGAAAGGGGTCAGGATTCCTTTTCATGCCCATTTTTTCAACAAGTAATTTAGGCCTTAAAGAGGACATGCTCCCTGGGGCTCTGCCCACACTTTACCAGATATCTGGATCGAAACAGAAAAACAAAACCACCTGCACACTTTACACAACATGGATCAAAAGACCCAGTTGCTGTACATGGAAAATGGCAGAAAGGACCAATTGTGATGGTAGTGGTGTCATTGTTGAAAGAATTTTAATGGTTTATATAATTTGGGGGGCAGACTTAGAATTCTAAAATGATATCACGTGATGGGTAATATAATAATAAGGCTGTTTCCTATTCATTTCATAAAAACAAATA